GCAGCAGCCAAGACGAAGTGAAAGAATCAGAACTCTAACAGAGAAAGGCAAAGAAATGCAAGATGAGAAAATTAAAGCACTCCAGCAAAGGTTTAACTATATATATGACAAATGGAAAACACAAGTTAAATCTGCAAGACAATCCTTATCACAGACAACAGAGACCTTATCTGAGGACTTGCTTAATGACATTATAAGTGATGTCACAGGTCTTTCTGCAGATGTCCAGCGTGTCTATGAAGAGCTACGAAAGATATCTGCTCCAGACCAGGTCACGCGTCGTAGAGTGGATCGGTGTGTAGAGATTTCTACATTTGTTGCAGCCAGAGCCTCAAGTAGGTTGCATGGAAGGTCTCCAGAAAAGGAGGAGCAAGACTGGCCAGAAGCAGGCTCTCTCTTTAATTCAAGCACCTGCAATTCAGATTCTGTTGCTTCCATTTTGAAAGGCACCTCAGTACTTTCAAGCAGGTCTTCTGCAAGACGACAAGATGCTGCTGCTGATGTTGCTGCAAGTCAGGCTGTTCTTAAAGTGTTACAAGAACAAGAAAAGGAACAGTTAGAAATCGAGCGTCTAGAAGCTGAAGCTAAGAAGAAGATAGTTGAGCAGGAGGCAGCAGCAGTAAAACGTCGGTTAGAAAGAGAGGCAGAAGAGGTAAAACGAAGAATGCAGAGAGAGGAAGAAGAAGCTAGAATTAAGGCCCAATTAGAGGAAGAGCACGTAGCTCTACAAAGGACTCTGGAGGAAAAGCGGAGGAAATTACAGCATCTGGAGGCAATGAAGGATCTCAGTGCAGCAAGGGCGAGAATGCTGGTGTACAACCAAGAGAATGACAAAGAAGAAGAGCAAAAGGACGTACTGCAACCTGAGATTGTAGTGGATAATAAAGTTTGTGCTCCCACAGGCTCTTTTCCCCAGTGTATGCCTCCTGCGCCACAAGTTGTGACCACTTCTTCAAATGACAGCACTGCAGAACTTATCAAAGTGCTGGCAGGAGCTTTGAGTGCCAACCGAATTCCAATTCCTGAACCTACAGTATTCAGTGGGGATCCATTGAAATACAGTGACTGGAAAATCTCCTTTGAAACGCTGATTGACCAGAAGAGCATTCAAGACAAGGAGAAAATCTACTACCTTCGCCGGTATGTAAGTGGACAAGCTAAGAAAGCAATCGATGGCTATTTCCTTCTTGGAACTGAATCAGCCTATGCTGCCGCAGTTGAGATTTTGGAGGAAAGATATGGAAACCCATTCACGATTGCAAAGGCATATAGAGACAAGCTTCAGACATGGCCCAAGATAGGCTCCAAGGACAGCTTTGAACTCAGAGAGTTTTCTGACTTTCTCCGTAGTTGTGAAGCCGCCATGGTCCATATTAAGGCACTGGAAATCTTGAATGACTGTAATGAAAACAGAAAAATTTTGTCAAAGTTACCAGATTGGCTAACAGCAAGATGGAATAGACAAGTTATTGAAATAGGAGAAGCGACTAATCAATTTCCCTCCTTCAGCCAATTTGTGAAGTTCTTGACAAGAGAGGTGAAAATTGCTTGCAACCCTCTCACATCGCTGCAGGCACTGAAACAAGATGAAGCTGAAAAAACCAAATCCTCAAGACATTTCAGCCTTGCAGCAAAAACACTGATCACAAGTTCCAGTGAAAAAAATGCTGATACATGTCTTTTCTGCAAAAGGACTGGGCATACATTGCACCAATGCAGGAAATTCAGGGAGAAAGCACTTAATGATAGAATTAAATTCATTCAAATGCAAAAGTTGTGCTTTGGTTGTCTGAAGTACGGTCATCACTCAAAGAGTTGCATCAGTAGGAGTGTTTGTGACAAGTGCCAGAAGCGTCATCCTACTTGTTTGCACGAAGAACGAACCAAAGAGAAGCAAAAACCACCACAGGCCAAGCAAAATCGGAATCATGAAACTTTGAGTGAGGTTCATGAAGAAGTACAACTAGCACAGGATTACGAAATGACCAGAACTGCGACTTCAAATACAGTAATGCTTCATGGAGCTAAAATACAAACAGCTGCAATAGTTCCAGTGTGGCTTTCCTGCACAACACAACCAGCACAAGAAATCCTTGTGTATGCTTTATTGGATTCGCAGAGTGACACAACATTTGTGTTGAGTGAAGCAGCAGAAACCTTACAGATAAATAGAGAGCAAGTCAAGCTTAAGCTTTCTACCATGACGTCAAGAACTACAGTTGTGAGTTCTCAAAGAGTAAGTAACCTACAAGTCCGTGGCTTTTACTCCAACAAGAGAATCTCCTTACCACCAGTGTACACGCGTGATTTCATCCCAGCTAACAGAACTCACATCCCAACCAATGAAACTGCAGAGGCGTGGCCCCATCTAGTACACTTACAGTCAGAAATTGCACCTCTGCAGGACTGTGAAGTGGGTCTGCTTATCGGATATGACTGTT